ACGCTGAAAGACTTTTAATCACTGTGACATTCTTTATTCTTTCTATATCAGACTGACAATACATCTCGGTGCCCGGCGGACTGGCGGCGTTAATGGAGTAGCAGGAGTTACGGCTGGCTGTCAGCAGACATTCTCTGTATATGCAGCCCCGTCTGAAATACCGGTGTTTATTGGCCCTGTAAATGGCAGGGCTGCGAAGAGGGGTGTGTTGAATACATAGTGCTCATGCAAATTGGTAGGTGCAGTGCCATCTATCAAGCAGTTCTTACACAAAGAGAAATATGGCATCAACACAGACCCCCCAAAGTAACGATGTGGAAAAAACACCCTCACCTCATCCTTCTCTTTCCATCTGTACAAACCTTATGCTCCTTGTTTTACACCAGTAGTCATTTTACTGATTTTGTTGTTAAATGTTTTTTTATAATGATCGTTTCGAATAGGAGGATTTATTTACAAATGGAAAGCTGCAGATTACTCTCTGGGGGAGTGGGGCATCCCTGGCGTTTGAAATGAAGGATTTGGACTTCTTCCATACATTAAGGTTAAAACTATTTCTTTGCACTGTCGGTGAATAGAGAGCGGTCGCGGTTATGTGGCGAGGGAGTTTATGGTGATATGAATGTAGTTCCATTGACAATTTCTTTGAAACCAGTAATTCTCAACGACAGGCTTTTAAAAATGTACAGAATAACCTGGCTTCAACTTACTTTAAATACACACAGTCATGTTTCACAAAAAATGTATTTGCCATCTCTCATTTTGGCAGATCTTGTACATTATTTAGTGCGTATGGAAATTTTCATCAAATCAATCAGAGTCAAGGGTGATGTTGCCTGCCATGTTTTGACACTGCGAGTCAGCTTGCTGCCCAAAACCTCTCTCTGACGGACAGTGCTCTGAGGACCTCGAGGCCAATGATTAATCTGATGGGGTCACCAACTTCAACAGAATCTGTGATGGCTGTTATACTTCCAAAATCTGCACACTGTCCAGTGTGCATTGGAGCGTGTGTACATGGAATTTGACTGTTTGTGCACTCCGTGTATGCTCAGGCATGTATGCATACGTGGGCAACACATTGTGATCCTGATAATAAAGTATATATCTAGAGTCTAGAAGAGCGGAAGCAGAGAAAGTAGCGTACTTGTGTGATGTTGAAAGCTACAGAACATTGTAAAACTTTAAGCAGGATTGGAGATTGTTGTTGTCACAGCTTCACACAGTCATTGGTGAGCTTTTGATGGCATCCAACCATCCCCTAGTCCTCCATCTCTTCCTTCACACTACCTAAACCTCCCCTCGCTCTACTCAAACGGTAAGAAAAAGACCCAGGTGAAGATTGTTTGAGATTAAGGAGAATCAATCCCGATCACATTCTCTTCCCCAACTACTACTACTGTCTAATTGTATTAATTAATGCACAATGAGGTACAATGATGAGTGCAACTTCCGTGCTGGTCAGATTCACACTGAGCCGCATCAGTCCTGTGACCTTAAGCAAGTTTCCTCAAGTCAAGCAGTTATATTTTGGAATTAAATATGCAGAACAATCGCTTGTCAGATGTGCCTCTGAGTGTGTGTGTGTGTGTGTGTGTGTGTGTGTGTGTGTGTGTGTGCGGTCATGCGCTCATGCACATGCTTCTTTGGATATGCAGTATCTCTTGTTCTCAGCAAGGGTTCCCTCAGCATCTGTGAGCCCCGCGGCGTCGTTTCAACGACAATTCGCTGCAGCGCGGAACCAGGGGCAGCAATGAGCTCAGCTTTGCCAAACTTGCATTCGTGTGATTTCCGTCTCCGGAGCTCCACTGCTCGGCCTCGGAGGCTCTTCTTGAGACGGATGCTCTCGTCCCTTTTCATCCTTCTCGGCTAATCGCTTACCTCCCCCTCTTCTCTTTACCGAAATCACCTGACTGGCCGCCCGTTGCTATTCATTGCTCCTCGTGACTCCTTTTCCGGTTCACTATATTATGTATACGTGGAGGGCTTTCCATTCCTTTATCTGTTATCGGTTACAGGCTCCCCATCCTCGACTCTTCCATCTCGCCGTGCGATGCTTGCACCACTGCAGTTAAAGAAGATAGTGCACTGTTACATTGAACTATTTGCCACTTTGCCAGCACTCATTTCAAAAATCAATTACCCATCAAAGAAAACGATAAATGATTTAAAAAATGCCTCCGTGCTGCGGTTTGTGGGTAACTATCCAATTTTTTAAAATCCCTCTGACAGGAAAATAAAAGCACTGGAGGCGTAAAGGAGCAGAGAGGATGGTGGTGCCTCAGTAGATCTAATTATCCCACCCCTCTAAGGCAGGCTAACCAAATGCTCGGTTATGTATCTGGTGATCTGTTGCTGCCAGGGTGAGCGCAGATCTCTCTCTAGACTATTCAAAATCAAGTAGCCAAATCTGGAGACGCTGAAGCAAGTCATTATTGGTAAGGAGGAGGAAGAGGAGTTAAACAGAGGAGCAGTTACAGGGCAGGAGAGGAAGTCAGGAAGGATATTCTGTGCTTGGGTGGGTTGGAACGGATATTGTATGCCTTATCTGTCACCTGCAGGTCTCTACTTGCTTCTTATAAAGAGAGCCAAAGTCAGAGCACGAAGGAAATGTGTGTGTGTGTGTGTGTGTGTGTGTGTGTGTGTGTGTGTGTGTGTGTGTGTGTGTGTGTGTGTGTGTGTGTGTGTGTGTGTGTGTGTGTGTGTGTGTGTGTGTGTGAGTGAGAGTACATACAGGGAATAATTGGAGTCAAACGGCAGCGATGCCTTCACTCCCTCCAAAGGGCAGAAGCCGATGATAAAACAAATAAAAAAAACACTAAGCTGAAGGTAATGACAACCCGGAGCTCACAACTTCTCAACAACTGCCCTTGATGCAGCGCTACACAAGTTGCAAACACGCTGGAGAACATTGGGGTCATTTGCTCTCCTTACATACAAATACATCCTCCAAAAAACTAGAAACTGTGCTCACAAAAGGATTTGGGAATATAACAAAAGCACCAAACACAACGTTTCACAGAGGCAGAGTGAACAATAGCAGGCCAACGCTTTGTTTCTGTTGGAAGTGGAGTAGAGTAACTGTTGTCATGCAAAATGATATCTAATAAAGCCCCTTTTTATGATATTATTCATCTAATTGCTTAAAATGTTGTCTGGAAGATAGATACTTATTGCTGAATGTTCTTTTTGTGCATAACATAAGGAAACATTTGTCGAATGTCCTGCAGGCAGTGAGCTGTTCACGCGGTTCCTAAATTGAGTCGGTTGTGACAACTAACGCCCCACATACATTGTGCCAGCAGTGAAGTTGGTGTTCTTCACTTGTCAATAAGGAAATGGAGTTCATCGGACACGGACATCGATTCATATTTCCGCTCCGCTATACAGCTCTATTCAGCGTTATGTGGCTCTGCATAGAACGGAGCGCGAGAAGGACGGCCGACTGACGATGGAAGAACTCTTTCTTTCATTCTCTCTTTGCAAACTAACACAGGTCAAGAAAATAAGTATAATAGCTTAATCAGCTTTCCTAATATGGTTGGGGGGTAATAATACATCTGATCTGTTTATCAACAGCGTCACAGAAGAATAAGGTAGGACACGGCTTTCTAGAACAAAAGAAAAAACACAAGGCAAAGCAAGGCCCACGCTTGACTGCTGGGGTTCATATGCACATCTGGATTGTTGGCAGACATCATGTGTGATATCTGCCAGTGGAAGCACAGCTGAAGCGGACCTCAGTATCACAGCGTTACACCGACGGTGCAGTGGTGTGTTTGAGTGTGTCAAACGGGCACAGAGAGAAATGTTTACAGCAGCAAATATTCTGTCAGTGGATCTTCCGTATCTTTATGTTTTCAGAAATATCGTCAGGTGACATATTGAGTGGCAGAATCTTCCAACTCCCCTGTCATCGTTTTATCCGGTTTAACAGAAAAGCTGTAAATCTTCAAGCATTCACTTACTCTGAAATCTTCTACAAAGGTCCTCCCAATTTTTCTAACAGTTATGACCTGATTATACATAAATCCCACACACTCGGGTTGTCAAAACAGATAAACATGCCAGAGGTTACAACCCGGACTCAACTTGCTCTAATTGCTCATGCTTGTGTTGCTGTTAATATATATGTGTCTAATTTCAAGACGTCCCCCATTAAATGTGAAAGGAAACGTATCTAACTAGGTTTTTTTTCAGGTTTTTTTTACACTATATTCAAAATTCTGCATGAAAGATCATCAACGTAACCTTTCTGGTGTAATAGCACTACATGTGGCAGGGAAAGGGGATTCATTATGTGCTGCACACCTGCAAAACCTGTGCTTTATCAAAGAGACTTTGTAAACACTGACATGAATACAACAATTGTCAGTTTTTGTGCCGCAATATATTCCCTCCATCTGGAATTATGAAGTAAACAAACTCTAAATTAATTAATTCTTTGCAAATATGTATGTATTGTTAAAATGCCTTTACCTGTCTGAAACTAGCTCTCTATGAAGTGAAACAGTGTCCTGGCACACATTTTTTCATATCATACATGAATGTGTAATACATGAAGTAAAACTGTTTCATGTTCTTGTATTTTTCTCATCAGAGACATACTCTACTTTTGCCTGATTCTTGGCATTGTGTTCTTTAGACCTGTTGAACTTTTAAATCTAATAAGCATTCCCTGATAATTCAAAATATCCTCCTTAACATGTTCTGGCCGTGGCCTTAGCAGCAGTTCAACATGCTCAGTTTCTCACTGTTGTACCGCCTCTCGCTGGCTTCTGCGATTTCAGTTTGGCCGAAATGTCGACCAACCGAAACCTCAACGAAGGCAGGTTGGAACGTGTGAGTTATCAGGGAGATCGGGAACATCTCTGCTCTGCTGTCCTCTGTCGTCATTGTCCTTCTCGCGTGTCTGCTTCTCAATGCCTGAACAGATGTTCCACCCCCCATCCTTTTTTTCCGCACACATGGCTACTCCAAACATCGAGTTAATGGCTTACCTGCAGTAGTCAGGCAGCGCTCTTCGTCGCTGTTGTCCCGGCAGTTGTCCTGGCCGTTACACAGGAAGCTGCGGTCTACACAGTGGCCATTTCGACACTTGAAGCGAGCCTCCAAGCACACCAACGGGTTACCAGCTGTGGTTGGGACGGGGTAGAGGTCAAGGGCCAGGTGTTAGTTACAGCAGGGTTACAGCGAGGAGTTCAAAGAGTTACCAGAGAAACACGAGCAACTGTGGGTGAGTTACAGTAGTAAATCATTTGATCTGGGGGCTCGCTAAATCGCTAAAAATCAAACTGATAAGAAAACCCACATTACCCTGACTATCCCTTCCTTTTTTACGTTCTGGTCTTTAGCTGCTGTGAAATGATTCAGATTTATCTTCTGAGAAGATCCAGACAATTACACGGCGGTGACGCAGTATGTGCTGGGAGCGCGGAGCAAAGCTCCATTTAAATGGCTAGATTAGATTTGTGAGCGAGGCGCCCTGCAGGCGAGGGAGCGCCACCTTCGACAATGGTGAGCGATCGGCGGGATGCATGCTCCCCAATGGGCGAAGCAGGGATGGGGGCCGTGTAAGGATAAAAGTAATATGCGCGAGAACACATTCCATACCTGGACCCTGGTCTCCCTCCGTCCTTTCGATTCAATATGTGTTATAATCTAAAAGGCAGAGCTAGAAACAAAAGGCGCAGACTGGGAAGTTACAAGTGATACAAACCCGTGAAGACGACTCGAACTTTATTGCAAATGGAATAGAATTTGCTACTTTTCTATTTCCCACCCATACTGTCAGCATGATTATTATCTGTTCTAAATGCAGGATTTAGAGGGACATTGTTCATAGAGCAATACTGCTGTGGCAGATTGTATGGGAATAGTTGCATGGTCAATACCCAAAACCACCGGTACGAAGCAGCTGTAGTATAAAGCATTACGAGCACATCATGAACCACAGCATGATTAGACCACATTGATCCTGTTGGGACTCACTGCAGTTCTCCTCGTCACTTCCGTCAGGACAGTCGCTGAAGCCGTTACAGCGGAAGCGTCCGATGATGCAATGGACGCCGTTGGTGCAGGCAAAGAACGCCGGGGCACACTTTGACTTGACCTTAGCTAAAGACGGACAGAGGGTTCAGGGAAAAAGAAATGAAAAGAAATGATCAGTCCAAGGGATGATGCAGCAGTTCTTAAAGCACTACATCATGTTTTATGATGATTTAATAACAACCATTGAACCATTACCCATAGTGGAACGTTCTAACTGTCAAACAGATGCTTTGTTTTAGAGGCCAATTCTTTACTGAGCTTCTTTTTTTGGGGGGGGGGGGGGTGGGGGGGGTTCTGTAATGCTTAGACCAAATGGTAAGATCCTGAGCACGAGCTACCGATAAGAGTAGAAAAAGTTAATGACATAGACAAAGAGAGCAAATCGTGTGGGTCAGGACTTAAGCAGATTATGTCATTGATCAGCCTAAGCAGGCCAACGATGATATCTTCCAGCACAGGCCTAACTGAGAATGAGTGACTAGACTGCGGATCATCAATGGATCATCAATGTCTGGCAGCCCTCCGTTTAGCAATGGACCCTAGTGTTCAGTCAGACACATTGATCTTCCTTTGCAGGGAGAAAAAAACAAGATGGCAGGTAGAGTCGGAAAAATAGACAGCAGAAAAAACATAAAACACCACGCAATCACTGAGACTGTAAGAGATTTAAAAGACATCCATAGTTTATCAGTCCAAGTTTAGCAAGGCGGTGAGAGATGCTAAACGACTGTACTCTGAGAAACTCCTACAACAGTTCTCAGCAAGTGACTCTGCTTCGGTCTGGAGAGGCCTCAAACACCTCACCAACTACAAGCCAAAACCCCCCACTCCATGAATGACCTCCGCCTGGCAGACGAGCTCAATGAGTTCTACTGCAGATTTGAAAGACAATGTCCTGATCCCATCCCCCACAGCTCCACCAACCTGCTGCAGTCACCCTCCCCTCCCTCCCCCAGCCCATCAGGTGCTCACGCCTCTTCATCTATATCACCTTCCCCTCCCCCACCAGCAACGACCCTCTCTATTCTGGAGAGAGACGTTAACCGGCTCTTTAGAAGACTAAATCCCCGTAAGGCAGCCGGTCCGGACTCTGTTTCCCCTCACTCCCTGAAGCATTGTGCTGACCAGCTGTCTCCGGTGTTCACTGACATCTTCAACACCTCCCTGGAGACATGCCACATACCAGCCTGCTTCAAGGCCTCCACCATCATCCCTGTCCCCAAGAAGCCCAGGATCACAGGACTCAATGACTACAGGCCCGTCGCCCTGACCTCTGTAGTCATGAAGTCTTTTGAACGGCTACTCCTGACCCACCTGAAGTCCCTCACCGACCCCCTCCTGGACCCCCTGCAGTTCGCCTACAGAGCCAACAGGTCTGTGGACGATGCTGTCAACATGGCCCTCCACTACATCCTCCAGCATCTGGACTCCCCAGGAACCTACGCCAGGATCCTGTTTGTGGACTTCAGCTCTGCTTTCAACACTATCATCCCGTCTCTGCTGCAGGACAAACTCTCCCAGCTGCACGTGCCCGACTCCACCTGCAAGTGGATCACAGACTTCCTGTCTGACAGGAAGCAGCACGTGAAGCTGGGGAAACATGTCTCAGCCTCTCGGACCATCAGCACCGGTTCCCCCCAAGGCTGCGTTCTCTCCCCTCTGCTCTTCTCCCTGTACACCAACAGCTGCACCTCCAGCCACCAGTCCGTCAAGCTCCTGAAGTTTGCGGATGACACCACCCTCATTGGACTAATCTCTGGTGGGGACGAGTCCGCCTACATGTGGGAGTCTGACCATCTGGTGTCGTGGTGCAGCCAGAACAACCTGGAGCTCAACGCTCTAAAGACAGTGGAGATGGTTGTGGATTTCCGGCGGAACAGAGCCCCACCCTCCCCCATCACCCTGTGTGACTCCCCCGTCACTATTGTGGATTCCTTCCGTTTCCTGGGCTCCATCATCACCCAGGACCTCAAGTGGGAGCTGAACATCAGCTCCATCACCAAGAAGGCTCAGCAGAGGTTGTTCTTCCTGAGGCAGCTGAAGAAACTCAACCTGCCAAAGACGATGATGGTCCACTTCTACACGGCCATCATCGAGTCCATCCTCTGCTCCTCCATCACCGTCTGGTACGCTGCAGCCACAGCCAAGGACAAGGGCAGGCTGCAGCGTGTCATCCGCTCTGCAGAGAGGGTGATCGGCTGCAATCTGCCATCCCTGCAGGACCTGTTCGCTTCCAGGTCTCTGAAGCGAGCTAAAAAGATCGCGGCCGACCCCTCCCACCCCGGACAAAAACTGTTTGTGCCCCTTCCATCTGGCAGGAGGCTGAGGTCCATCAGGACTACGACCTCCCGCCACACGAACAGTTTCTTCCCGTCGGCAGTCGGGCAAATCAACAGAGCCCGGTCCCCCACTGCCTGACTATAACACTCCACCGGTCACTCCCCCTCATACTGCACATGCCACTTTAACTGCAATTCATCACTTTGTCACTTGTCACTTTGTCTCTTGTCTGTTACTTGTTCGTTAGTGCACTTTATGCTAAATATTTTTCTTTTTAACTTTTTAATATTTAATTTTTTTTTTAACTTTATTCCCTTGTTTTATACTAACCCATAGCCTTAGCCTTATTCTACTAACCCATTGCATTAGCATTTCATTCCACTTTATTTTATTACTTGACACTGTCTTGTCTGTCTACTGTCGCGCACTAACCGCCAAGACAAATTCCTTGTATGTTTGACATATTTTGGCTAATAAATGTTTCCTGATCCTGAAGATGCATTTGAAGTGGGCCAACATTGCACACTGTTAGCTGCTAGTTGCACCGGCCAATAAGGATGATGCAGTAAAAAACAGAGGGTGCATTGAATTGGGCAACGGTTCATTTTATTGAACCATTGAACCATCACGTGATGACTCCTGATTTATCCTGCGACACCTTTGGTGTTGTCAAAGCAGCTGGCAGGGGACCATTCTTCTCAAGAAGAGAAGGGCTCAACCAGCAACATGGCCAGAAACCCAAGATTACAAGTTGTATCATTTGGGTTTTGCACAAGTGTGAAAACGGGTGTATTAGCCTTGATTGAAAGGACGCAAGCTACATTTTGAGCAGAATTTGAGGAGATGAGAAGCATCTCTGGTACATCATTTTGCAGGACCAGCTTATTTCTTTGAAACATCCCTCTCCGTCTTTTCTCTCTCTCTCTTTCTCTCTGAACTGCATTTTTGAACCACTGTCTTCGTATTCCTCACTTCTGGGGTAATACATCACGCCCAGCGACCCCGCTTTTGACCTCTTTGTATGAGGAATTAGTCAGCAGGCTGTCCCCTGACACAGCTTGAAAAAACATCACATATGCAAACAAGCACACCAGAGTAAAGTAGATGTTCAGTATTGGTGATACTGTAAAAAACTACTGATATTGTTTCATCTTAAATTCAGCTACGTGGCCCAAAGCAGGGGTTACACTGCACAATTGGATTTGATTGAAATGATCTGTAAGGGGATCCTGGCCTCGCTCAGTAGAAAACTAATACAATGAGCTGAATCTCATGCAACTAGAAAATGCATTTCCTGCTGAAAATGCGTCAGAATGCAAAAAGCTGAAATGAACTTCAAAAAAATGCTGAAATTACAGAAAGGGAATTTCAATACATTTGCTGAAATTACAGATATTAGAAAAGCTGAAATGAATTTGAAATTGCTGAAAATACAGAAATGGGAAAAGCTGAAAGGAACTTCAATAGATTTGCTGAAAAAGCAGAAATAAACAGCTGAAATAAATGTGAAATATTGCAAAACAAAACAGAAGTTGCAGGAGCTTAAATTAATTTTAAAAATAACAGAAATAACAAAAGCTGAGATGAATAAAAAGAGGTTTAAAAATTGTTTGTAGTAATATTAGTAGTAGTATTAGTTATAGTTGTAATTGTGGTATTAGTAGTACTAGCAGTAGAAGTCGGTTTAGTATCAATAGCAGTAGAAACAGCTGGAATACTGATACTATTAGCCATATTAGTATTTGTAATAACATTAGTATTAGTTGTAGTATTAATAGCAGTAGAAATACTAGTAGTATGGTAGTAGAAGTATCAGTTGTAGTACTAGAAGTACTAGTAATATTCGTAGTGGTTGTAGTAGTATTTGAATGAGCAATACGTATTTCAACGAAACCGCTTCATTCTGAGCTTCATGGTTAAGGTACAGATAATCATTGAGGCTTTTATTTTGTAATGATGGAATTGGGTGAGGGGGGGTTGGGAGACAGAATGTTTGTTATTCAAACTAAGAAGTTTTTAATTAATAGGCCTCATCACAAACATTACAGTAAAAATTCCCTCTATGGGGCTTTTATTTTGTAATTATTGGACTGGGTGGGGTGGGGGGGTGTAGATAGAGGGAGGGAGGGTGAGGAAGGGAGAGGTGGTGAGGATGAGATAGAGAGAGAGAGAGAGAGGAGGAGAAATAGACAGACAGACTGACTGAGTGATTAACAGTGAGTAGAGGTCAGGGTGGAGGGGGGAGGAGGGGCTAGTGTCTTTATCATATTGGTCTGTTGACAGAAAGCATAGCTGCGTCATGTGACTCCACTAATCAGGTCATAGGAGCAGCTGTGAGTCACAGACAGAGATACTGCAGCATGTGAGTGCGAGTAACCACGGCAACGACACACCTGTGCTCATTAACGAGCTGCTGCAAAGGGCAGACACAGGACAGCGAGTTACACAGAATCCACACCTCAAACAAATGACATTCAGCGCAAAACTATAACAGCTATCTAAAAAATACGCTGTTTGTTCGAGACCCAAGACTCTACCGAACGCAGGGAGGTGTCATTTATGTCTGTCCGGTAAAAAATACGGCTCCTGTCGAAGTTTACAAAACGTGTACCTTCTGGATTTTCTGAGAAATATGTCGGCAGATTTGTATTGGAGCCTATGGGGCTTTTAGCAGCGGTTGTGTGACTGTTGGTCTCCGTAGGCCAAAACTAAAGAACTCTGGGATTCTATGAACACATTAATCCAATCAGCACAACCATGCCCTCATTAATCTGAAGAAATGAAGCCTCTAGAGTGTATACTTTGGCTGCAAGGACAGAAGTTCCATTTTTTTTTAACCAGATTCTGACGCTGCCTCACACTCTAAGATCTCCCGGTCTCGCTCTAGCAGACGCAATACACACTCATGTAAAAGTCAGAAACGGAGCGAAGAACTAGTGAAACATAATCAGTGATTATGAAAAAAGTACAATAGATATCCACAAGCAGTTTTTTTCATAAAATAGTTGAGACTTGTGTCAACATTTGAAAGTTAAAATGGTGTCTGTAGCTGAAAGATTTGCGAAGCTGAAAAATCTGAAAGTTGAAGAAGTTGAAGAGGATTTGGAAAACAAACTCCATTTGAAAACCATGTTAAAATATGAATGATTATTGATTTATATAAATTCAAGCATAAGAGGTAGAAAGCTGAAAAGTCATAGCCCTCAAGCCAGAAAGGAGCTGAACATTTTAATATTTGAACGGTTTTAATAGCTGAAATTGTGAAGGAGTTGAAAGGTGCCGCGGAAGAAATAGAAGAAGATGAAGATGAAGAAATAAAGATTCGAAGAAGAATACTTGGAATGCATAATGCATTCCAACAATAAGTCGGAAATAAAGATTCGAAGAACAATACTTGGAATGCTTAATGCATTCCAACAATAAGTTGAAATAAAGATTCGAAGAACAATACTTGGAATGCATGCTTGATGCATTCCAACAATAAGTTGAAACTAGAAAATGCATTTCCTGCTGAAAATGCGTTGGAATGCAAAAAACTGAAAGCTGAAATTAACTTTCTAAAATAGCTGAAAATACTGAAAGTTGAAGGGAATTTGAATATATTTGCTGAAATAAAAGATATTAGAAAAGCTGAAATGAATTTGAAATTGCTGAAAATACAGAAATGGGAGAAGCTGAAAGGAATTTCAATAGATTTTCTGAAAAAGCAGAAATGAACAGCTGAAATAAATGTGAAATCTTGCAAAAAATAGCTAAAATGAATTTCAAAAACGGCTGAAAATACAGAAATCCGAAAATGTACCAACAAGCCGAAAAACTGAAATGAATTTAAAAAATGCTCATGATATAGAAATGACAATGTACCAGCAAGCTCAAAGATGAAATTAAGTTCAATTTCTGAAAATATTGAAATTTCCAATGGCTTTGCTGAATAAGTGTTAATGCCAAAAAGTGAAGTCCAGCACAGCAGGAAAACATAATATTTTAATTTCAAAATTGGCAGTGTGGAAGATGAAGTGCAGCATTTAACAAAGCTAAGAGTTGAAATACAACACAAAAGAAGATCTCGTCTTTACATCCTTTTTTGACTCATTATCTTCTATCGAAATATAATGAAATAATATAGATGAGTACAGTGCACAAGTACTGTTGTATTGGTCATAATTATTTTGAGTATTTCGTGAAAGATAAAATCTTAGAGTGAGAAATGTATCAACACAGTTTTGTGAACATTGGTCCCTGTGTTATTTATGAATACATGTACTATAGTTTCAATAGTTAACAATATGGTTCATTTCCTACAATCAAAGGCTTTTCACATGGTTTCCAGACTTAGGTTAATACTCAGATCAAGACTTCAAGGTCCAGGAGCCCTGGACAGATAAGTCTTGTCAACATTGTCGTTTAGACTATCCCAACGTTAAGCTCAGTTTACTGAGGCTCACAGACACACTGGGTTCTCCTTACTTTGATGGAACATGGGTTAGAGTCACTTGTTGACTCAAGGTTAGGACCCAAGCTTTGTAGGATTTGTTTTCCTATTAAATCTTTTGACAAGGCTCTTTGCGCCAAGTCATGTTTTAGCCATCTGAAGATGAAACACTTTATGGATTTCACAGTCTTACAATTTAACACTGGGCAGTCTCAGTAGAGTTTAGGTTATCCTAAGGATCGGTGTACACATGTGAAAAACCTTGAATATACCTACCAGCTGAAACCCCATACTAATGACTCATTGTGATACAAATATGTCATTTCTTCAAGGTTAATTTGTTCATATGCTTATTTTTCTCATAAATCTGACTGAAAAGGGACGGATGACAAATAAATAAATAAATAATAAATAAATAAATACAATCAACAAAAAAAAATGCGATGAAACATAAGGAAAACGTATATTGTTAGATCAAATACGGTAGAGATGAAACAAACAAAATAGACAGGTGTCCTGTAGTAATACTGTTCATGAGTTAGTAGTGTATGCTTTGAAGACCTGTAACATTATGACCTTTGACCTGTGCAGAGGCTGTAGATCCACTGCTGCAGTCATCACGTCAGGATAGTGTTACTATAGCTACATGGAGGAGGAGAGGCCTTAAAGACAGAAACAGGATCAAATGTATTCATGTTGTTAAAAATTTAAACAGCACATGCAAGTAGGAAGACTACCAGGGAATTGTTTGGTTGTGGTCAGAGATATATTTTTAAAAAGATCTAATCCCAGTTGTTACCTTTACAGCTGGTTTAGGGAGGAGCTTGAAGCTGCATAAAGGTGGGGCTGTCACTGGGACAGTGATGACTGACTGATGACTCTTTCAGCTTCTTTTGTGTTCAGCGCTCTCTGCAGTCCTGAGTGTCTTCACTGTGAAGTGGAGGAATCACAGAGGAGGAAGACCTGAAGGAAGAAGTGGATATAACATTAGAATGTTATATTGGATGTACGATTAGTGTTATTAAGAATATTGCATTCATACAAAATGAATACGTGAATGATAACAAAATTAAAACAAAACATTAGAAATCACATATGAAATAAGAAAACAATACCTTATTATCTGTTGTGAAGAAACCTCAACACTGGCAGGGAGAACACGTGTCTCTGTGGTCCAGCAAGTGTCCACTGATGATGAACAGTTAACAAAGTGCTTCAACATCTGCTCTGCTGCTGCAGTGGTGGCAGGATGTGCTGGTCGGTATGAGCTGATCCAGAATCTCAGAGCCAGACAGGAAGTGAGGCAAAGACAGGCAGGTGTTTTCTCGTCCTTTGCTTTGAAGCATGACGGGGACAAGCAGGAAGTCAAATGTGTCCCTATGAGGTCTAACTGTGATGGGTCCTCGGTTGATTGACAGTTCAGTTGGTGCTGCAGTCTTTGTCATGTCTTAGATGCTGTGAGCTGATCCTCACAGTGCAGAAGGAGGTGAGGCCAAGACTGGAAGGTGTCTTTACAGAGGACAAGGGAGGACTGTGTCTCCTGTCCATCAGAAAGGAAACTTAACACTTCAAAGACACATGAGAACTTTGTCTGCTGTCCATCGGAAAGGAAACGTAACACTATAGAGGACACAGGAGGACTGTGTCTTCTGTCCATTACAAAGGAAACTTAACACTACATAGGAAACATGACAATTGTGTCTGCTTTCAATACAAAGGAAACGTAACACTACAGAGAACACAGGGTAATTAAAATAAAATGAATGGGGATGGAAGTGTGGGGTTTCAGCTGGTAGGTAGATCAGAAAGTATGTGTTACATCTAGAACACATACTTTCTGATGTGCGTCTGCTAAACTAAATGTCAGCAGCTGTGTACAATGAATTTTACATTGTACACAGCTGCTGAAAGAGTTTTGGCCTGTGCATTTATCAACCCTGAACCAAACCCACCCTGATAAATGCACAGGCCAGAATTTGTTAGAAATATTGCTAAAAATAACATGGTTACCTGGAAAACTATATGACCCATAATATTATCCAATATTGTGAACACTTAAAATTAGCCCATTCTACAATCTTATTACAGTGCAACAACTAGTTTGACCAGATGATTCAGTTTTCTTTACATTGATGATTACATAATCCCAGACTAATTACAATGTGGTATTGTTTAAAAAAAGTACATGATTCTCAGTAGATTTTGGTCTTAGCTGACAATTTTAAGACCTGTTGGAGGAATGTAGACAGAAAACATGATTGTGACATGTTTTTTACTGTACCAGAGTGGAGGCCCTGCTGTGGTGGAAAGATGGAAACGGCTGTATGGCGGATCCCCCTCCTCTGTATAATCATGCATTGTATTAAATCAATGTATATACAAGTACATTGCATTTTTCTTTAAAACTCACCTGATACCTTCATGGACTGTTAGATGACATGACACAGTAAACAGGGTTGTGATAACTGTAATAAGTTCTCAGCACACCAGAGTAGAGACAGCGTTGTGGTTGAGAGATGAAAATGAGGTCCAGCAGTGTGTTCTTGTCAGTGGTTGCATTACTGATGACTTGTGCAAATCCTCTGGACTGGAAGAGCTCAAGGATTGGCTTACCAGTATTGGAGAAGAGATTCTCGTTGAAATCACCACAGACAATGATGGGCTGACAGTCCATGATCTCCAATGAGTCCAGCAGGCTCCCCAGGTTGGACAGGAATGATCTCACACTGTAGTCTGGAGGTCTGTACACAGCTGCAATCAGGGCTCTCACTGGGGCTTCTACCTTCAGAGCCACAAACTCAAGATCGGTCACATTATGTACGTACTGTTTCTCACGCACCTGAATGTGGCTTTTCACATAAACAGCAACTCCACCACCTGGCTATTTGTGGAACATTTGTGTAGGACAGGTGTCTGTTGCGTTTGAACATGTTGTAGCCCTCTAAATGGAGACTCTCTGCAACAAAGGAGCCTTGAAGGTGAGTTTCTGTGAGACACAAAACATCTGCAAGACACAGTTCATGATGGCTCCTGATGTCAATGATGTGCGATGGCAAACCTTCAGTGTTATGGTGAACAATGGTCAGAGTGTCGTGTCTGCTCGAGGTCTCTTTGATACAAAGAAGAGGCATCATGTCGTCCAAGTTGACTTGTCTCATGGTCTCGAGGGCTCCAGTGATTTCTGGGTTGGCATAGATTTGACTCTCATCCAGATCCAGCATGTGCAGTCCACTGAGAGAGGTCACTCTACTGATGGCTACGTAAGCCACGCCAGGTTCAAAAATGTGTTTCAGTGACACTACAGCTGATGTCCTTTTCATACCCTGAACCTTGTGTATCGTGCAGGCAAAGGCAAGTCTAACAGGAAACTGTCTGCGTACCACTCCTTTCTGTTTCAGATTGTCCTCTGCTCTCTCTATGTACACCACATCATCAGGGCCGCCTGGTGCTCTATTACGGTAATTGCTTCCAGCAGTTTGATCATCCATCTTGAGCCCGAGCATAGTGACATGTGCAACACCACTCTGTTCTGCGGTTATTACCCTGACTAGTGTAGCAAACGATCCATTCACCAATCCCTGAGACACGTCTATGTTTCTGGTGAGCATGACTCGAGCACCTTCAGCTACGTTTAGTGTGTCTGGTAACTCATTTCTGTTTCCTTTGTATGGTTGGGCTTGTCGAGCCATTCTTCCAGTTCGTGGGTCCTTCTTGTAGTCATCTGCATCGATGTTGGTGATATTAGAATGGAGCAGAGCTAATGTTACTGAGTTGTGTGAATCAACCTGTTTATTAGTTGCAAAGATGTGCAGGACATCAGGTGGACAAAGTGATGGTTCAGTGATGGTCTGTGACAACAAGGCTCTGTCTGCTTGAGACAACTCATCTGACTTTCCTTTCACACGGATCCGGTTCAACATCTCTGCAAAGGCAACATTATCCTTCTGCCGCATAATCTCAGTCAGGGTGATTGTCTGAAAGTGTTCCTGCCATAGGTCAATCTCGCGTGTACACAGGCGCGTACACACAGAGGGTCTTGGACTGTCGCACTGGTGGTAGCTGATAAAAGTCACCAACAGCTATTACTGACATTCCTCCAAAGGGTTTGGGACTACCTTTGATCTGTTTCAGTCTCGCATCCACATGAGCAAACAGGGGCTTTGACACCATAGACACTTCATCAATGATGAGGATTTCAGCATTTAAAAGTTCTGATCGGACTTCATCCAGTTGGTTACCAAGTCCTTGAAATGGAGGTTTCAGACTTCGTGGAAGCTTGAGCAGAGAGGGCAGTGTTGATCCTGATATATTGAAGGCTGCAGTTCCAGTGAAAGCTGTCAACAGGACCGTGGGGTTTCATATGTCGACCTCCTCAGAATGGCTGGGCAGTTTGCACAGTATCTTAGATGCTTCTGAGTAGATGCATTTAATGAGATGTGACTTTCCTGTTCCAGCACCACCATTGACGTAAAAGAAAAACTGCTCAGGATTTAGGCCACAAACACGCTTTACGCACCAGTCTCTGACTGCATAGAAGACACATGCTTGTTTCTGGTTCTTGTTCTGATACATTTGCCGTAGTAGTGTGGGGTCAAAGGCCGGAGGCTCTCTGATGGCTCTGGCTTCTGTTGCAGCATTAGCTTGATTAGTGTATTCTGGAACATTTTCTTGAACATTTTCATGATCTGGCTCTCTTGCCTCGAGTTCTTCTATACATTCCAACCTTTCCACTTCAGATTCTGGAGCCAGATTGCACCATTCATCAATCACTCCTCTCTTCTGTTCAAATTCTCAATGTCCTCGCTGTCTTTGTTTCGTTTCACAATGTGACGGACATACTCAGGATGGTCAGAACCTGGTAGTTGGACACAACCACTCTTGTAGAAGGACTCGTACGTGGGGAAATGCCGTCTTTTCAGTTCCAGGTCTGATCGGTGAGGAATGTACAGTTTCAGTAATGTGCCATAGAACTTCTCTGGATATTTTTCCTGTGAGCAGCGGTAAAATCTGATGATGGCAGGCTTATCGTTTTTACGCTTTTGCACAAATCCCATGTCATTGAGGAGAGGCAACACATCTTTTCCTTTTTTCTGCTAGCCATAGACAATTCTGCAAGTTGCTGCTAAATCTGCCAAACACATCTGCTCAAACTCTGGTGTTTCTGGTCTGGATTTGTATTTGTCAGTCAAAGATGTCATCCACACATTTACACTTTCTAATGTTGTGTTCTCCAGGTAAGACATGGGGCGACTCATTTTCAGTGCGTTGTCATCTGTCGGTACGAATTGGACACCACGTGAACACTTCTTCATGAGTCACATACTCCTGAGCACTGACCTCTCTATTTTTAGAGTACTCCTGCATGATTTCCCTCATTTCATCACATTCACTGACGTGGTCTCAGGTGGAGTTTGACTGTTTTAAGGTACTCAGAAAGTCCAGATTCCTTTTTGGTGATGTAGCTGGTGAGATACATGATGCACGAATATGCATTGAGAATATAACTGACATCAATATTGGCATCCCAGGCTTCCAGTAGATGTGCATTATATCCATTTACCCAGCAGTCCTTTGGCTCACGTTTCAGGATCACCGCACTGGATTTGTTGATGATATTGAGGCATCCTTCATACTCTTGGAGTGTTAAGTTGCATTTAACGAGGAGCTGCTGCAAACTGAGTGAGGCAGTTTCAGGTTCATTCAGCAACAGGTTCAGTGGTTGGAGCTTGGACTTTGCTATTTGCAGTTGCAGTGGAGCAACGCCCTCACCAGGTCTCGATATCATTGTCTTTCTGGAAGGTGGTTTAGGAAAACCAAATCTGCAACCCGAGCTGGGGCTTCTGAAACATGTCCGTGAGTGTTTTGCTGTGTATTTGCACCTCTGTGACCTTCTTGTACAGTTCAGGTTGTGTGAGTTGGTCAGGTAGCTGAGCTGTGATGTATTTGGAAACAAAAGCTGACACAGTGTGATCATCATCCTCCTCAAACACAGGTGCACCTTCTACCCATATGAGACAGTGAATGTGCGGACTTCCTCTGTGCTGAAACTCAACTCGGTAAAAGTAGTCAACGACTTTGCCAAGAGGCTGTGCAGGAGATAAGAGCACATCTCTGAATAAGGCCTCAACACGCTTATCAAACATGCGCATGGTTGTCACAGGATTGCTTCTCAGAATGTCAAACTTTGCTGACCAGTTGAGCCCTTCAAAGTTCACCTCCTCACCTTGCTGTCTTTTTATTGCCTCAATCACTTCAGGCCAACGCATCGCAGCTGCAGAAAATGTACAAAAGAATGTGGGAGTTCCCAACTGTCTGATCATGGCAAAAAGGTCTCGTGTGGTTTTCTCCCAGTAGGCTGGTGTTCCTCTCAGCGGCTGCATGAATCTGACTGCATCTTTGTTCCTCACCAGTTTCTCTACCTCTCGTTTGTTTTGCAGCATACCAGACGTTATTTTCGTCCATCTCGAGTCAGTGGCTTTCCTTTCCTCAACTGTATCGTCATGCTGGATGTGGCCAAGTGTATTTCAGTCACAAACTGAGCAAAGAACAAGTAGTTTGTGTCTTTGGCAAAACGATCATCAACACAGAAGAGCCTCGCTTTGAAATAACTGCTGGGTGTTACTTTCATACGTCTCCCTTCATCCAGTGTGTTTTGGCCTGTAGGGAACTGCACAGGGAAAGCCATCGCCTCAAGTTTAGGAGTTTTGAAGAAACCAACTGGACTGTTACTTTCTGCAGGGGCAACAGAGTAGATTCCTTCACTGAAACATAAGATCTCCTCTGAAACATCACACGGCTGAAGACATGATTCTAGAGCAAAACCACCGTTAGGCATGTCACCTTCCTGTTCTTCACCATCTCTTTGCTGCTCTGGTTGTTCACCATCACAAGACAACATGTCAACATCCTGCTCTCCATCAAGCTCAGTTTCTGTCTCACACAGTGCACTTATCTCACACATGTCAATTTCCTTTAAATCAGCATCATCATAGTCGTTGTCATCCATACTGGCATCCTCATCATCATCATCCTCATCTTCATCAGGAAGTGTTGGGTCACAAAGCTCAGCCTCATCTCTGATAGTGATGTCCTGATATTGTGGATGGATGTGTTTGAGTTTATGCAGCGCCTGCACTAGTTTAGACCAGGTGACAGTCTGGAACAGCTGATGTCCTCTGTAACACAATCGTCTCTTCAGCTTTACTCTCATCACTTGAGACTCACTTCTCAGTCTGGGTAACGCTTCCACTGTTTCCTGCACCTCAGACGGGACACAAACCACGTTGCCATGTATCGCTCTCTGGCGTCCTTTGGGAAGAGGAACGATCTTTGCAAACGCTATGCACTTGGCTATGAGATGTCTCTCCAATATGTTGAGGTCACACAGTTCAGGTGGAATGTCAGCGAGCTCCAAGTTGTTGGCTACAGCGAGTGCCGGCATGACTCCATCTTTAAGATGATTGTGGCAGGTGTGACAGATCCACTCTTCCTTTCTCTCATCAGGTACATTACACTGCTGTTCATCTCTGCACTCGTCATCACACACATGGACATACTTTCCTGTCAGGCATGCTGCAACCACGTCTGGATTTCGTACATAGTTTAACCGTTTACAGGGTTTCACTTGGTTTGGAAATGCTGCTTTGTGACAGACGGTGCAAACATAAGTGGGACCGGACTTTATTTGTGACCTGAAAACAGATATGGCCTCTTTGATCAAACTGTTGTCACTTTCTTCTATTGGTTTATTTATCCCTCTGTATTTCCTTTTTATTTTCATGGCACATCTCATGTTCTGCATACTCCGATATGTAGGATTGTTTTTGTATCTGTCTTTCATTCGTTGTTTCATTAGTTGATTGTGTCTCAGCCTGAACGCCTGGTCATGAGCGTAACGCTGAATAATATGAGATCTCTCTTTTTCTCTCTTCTTTTGTCTAAAATCAATGCTGTTTTTATAAAAAGCAGTGAAGGACAGTTTTTTTTTCCTTTCTAAACTCAGCATTGTCTTGGTAGCGGTTTGTAAAGTGTTGTTTTTTCTTCTCTCTAAAATCAGGATTATTTCTGTAACGAGAGACAAAGATTTGTTTTTTTTTCTGTCTAAATTCAGGATTATTTCTGTAACGAGAGACAAAGATTTGTTTTTTTTTCTGTCTAAAATCGGGATTATTTCTGTAACGGGAGACAAAGATTTGTTTCTTTTTCTGTCTAAAATCAGGATTATTTCTGTAACGAGGGACAAAGATTTGTTTTTTTTCTGTCTAAAATCAGCATTTTCTCTGTACCTGTTTGAAATGTACTCTTTCCGTTTTTGTTGAAAGTCAACGTTGTCTCTTGTATTATTGATTTTCTTTTGTCTAAATTCAGGGTTGTTCTGATATTTGCTTTTTGCATGAGATTTTTTTCTGTTTTAAATGCTTTATTTGAAGCATACTTTTCCCTTTCTTTCCTTTTTTTAATCTCTTGTCTTTGTTGAGTTTTCTCTGAGATCATCAGTCTTCTCTTCATTTTTCTCCTTTTGTTTTTATCACACTTTGTCAGTTTGCATGAGATTCCCTGTAATAGAACATCAGATAGATCACTAGCAACAGTATTTGAGCCTTTTGACTACTGAAGAAGACATATTTGGTTCATTGAGAGAAGCATCATGTGATGGAAGGAAAGTGGATTGACTTGACAGTTCTGGTTCATTGAAGTTTATGACCTCTTGTTGTCTCACCGATGATGTAAAGATGATGTCACTGGACTCGGTCGTCAGATGGATCACTGAGAACAGGGTTTATCACTTGAGCAGTTGATCTTGATTCATTGTGAGGAGCATCATGTGACGATGTTGCGATGAAGACCTCTGGTTGTTTTACAGCTGGAGTGTGAGGAGTCGTTTCAGGTGAACTGGTCTGATCAGTGGCTGTAGGTGAGTTTGATTCCTCCACAGGGACAGCTGTAGGTCTGCAGTCTGTGTTTGGGAGACCATCGCTCAGGTTGACTGTGTTCATGTTGTAGAACTCCACAGGCTTTAACTCATAGTTACAGGAGGACTGTGTGTCCATCATTCTGTGGGACTTCTTGAGTCTGTCAATCATGTCACTGAGACGTGAGAATGTCACCATGACAGCAGTACCTGGTGTGTGTGAACCGGCTGGTTGGGGCAAACCTCTGGCTGTTCTGGAGTGTGGGTCGAAGAAACCGTACCTGCCCGACTTGGTTCTGAACACTGCGATACACAAGAGTCTCATCAACAGCAGAGCGTACTTCACATCTGACAACAAGCAGCTGAGTCCTGACTCCAGGTCCAGAAAGCTGTACACAGCTCCAGGTAAAGGTTCTCCTATAATGTGCCGTACCTTGAAAGCTGAGTCATGTCTGCATAGTGTGTAGCGCTGCGTGCAGGAACTTCATCAGTGAGCTCATCGGTGGTCAGATAGATGTGATTAGTGACTTGTTTCCTGGTCTCTCTATACATCGTGTTACCTTTATCCAAAACATGGTCCAGGTCTGCTCTGGTGATGCTTTCATTCTCATGGAGGAATGCAAGAAAGGTCAGTGAGTTACAGGTGCACTGCCGATTTCTGGATCTGCCGTATCTAATAGAAGCCTGGCTGTGGGATGCACGGACATGTTTTTCATAAGGCTGATCTCCAGGGTCTACACGGTCTGCATTAGAAGGTCCTGCTGCACATGGTTCTTTACTGGCTTGTCCTCTCTTTATAGTATCTGAAACCTGTGGTATACATGAAGCATCAGGCTGACATCTCTGGTTCACCTGGTCCACATTAGAAGGTCCTGCTACACATGGATCATCACTGTGCTGTCCTCTCTTTACTGCATCTGCATAAGATGGTGGTGATGCACATGAAGCATCAGGCTGACCTTCCTGCTCCACACGTTTACACTCTGCAGACATCTTTACCTCTTCACTGCTCTCAGGACCAACACTGGTTTGGCATTGTTGATGTTTCAAAACCACAAATGTTGTACAAAACCAAGAAATTAAATGCAATAAGTAAAATATTACTTTTAACGAACAAGGTTTTGTAGATGGTTTTCTCTCCTTCCCTCACTCGGACACCCAGGTGGCGGCTCGGATCTCTGCCTGTCTAACTGACATCTCTCAGTGGATGTCCGCCCACCATCTGAAAATCAACCCCGACAAGACTGAACTACTTCTCTTTCCCGGAAAAGATTCGCTTACCCAGGACCTGACAGTCAAATTTGGGAACTCCGTACTAACGCCCACCTCGACCGCTAAGAACCTCGGCGTCACACTCGACTGCCAACTCTCCCTGACTCCCAACATCACCACGACAACGCGATCCTGTAGATACACGCTCTACAACATCAGGAGAATACGTCCCCTTCTCACTCAGAAGGCAGCGCAGGTACTGATTCAGGCTCTTGTCATCTCCCGCCTGGACTACTGTAACTGTCTCCTGGCTGGTCTCCCTGCCACCGCCATTCGACCTCTGCAGCTCATTCAGAATGCAGCAGCTCGACTGGTCTTCAACCTTCCGAAATTCTCCCACACTACTCCACTCCTCCGCTCTCTTCACTGGCTACCGGTGGCCGCCCGCATCCAGTTCAAAACATTGGTGCTCACGTACCATGCTGTGAATGGATCGGGTCCAGCTTACATCCAGGACATGGTCAAACCCTACATCCCAACCCGCACTCTCCGCTCTGCATCTGCAAAACTACTCGTCCCTCCCTCACTGAGAGCAAAACACTCGACTAGATCTCGACTCTTCGCTGTCCTTGCGCCGAAATGGTGGAACGAGCTCTCTGAAGACATCAGGACCGCAGAGAGCCTTCACATCTTCCGCCGCAAACTAAAGACACACCTCTTCAGACTCTACCTCGACTAAAGACCAACAAATTGTAGCACTTAAATTGTACTTGTAACGTCACTCATCTATAGCAAATTGTAAATTGGCTTATTTGAGGAAATTGCACTTTCTTGTTTCTTGTTCTCCTGAGTTTGTACCCTATGGTTGAATGCACTTATTGTACGTCGCTTTGGATAAAAGCGTCAGCTAAATGACATGTAATGTAAAAGATGGATTAAACCTGCTTGCTGCTATAAATCAAAAACACTTATGAATGAAAAATTAACTCAGTTTGGGCTTACGCTTTTCAAAACATGAATAGATAACACTTTTCAATATAGATAAATATATTATATTTGAACGTCAAATTCAGTGACAGCAACCTGAAGGATTATTTTATAGTTTTAATATAAAAAACACAATGAAATTATCCAGCTGACGTGTTCTAATATATGAGGGTCCAGACAAAGCACTTCTAGTGCAATACTGCAATCAGGTCTTAGTATGTCTGTCTGCGTAAATAACGTACCATGTACTAAAGTGACCGATGGTATTTAGTATGTAAAAGATATTGCTTACTGAGACCTTGACTTATCTGTGGAAATATATAATCAATGTAAAAACTGAAGTCTACCACAAACACACTACTTGGAACCAGTTGACTGAAAGGGCCCTTCAGATTTCAAATGGCTAAATTTACTGGTAGAAATGATCTTAATACTTTATTAGGCTATTGTTTACATTCAGGAGCAGTTGTTGTAGGAGTGTGATGACAGATGGATGCTTCTGAAGAACGTTGGATCAGCAGGAAACAGCCACTCCTGATGAATCCACTTGCTCCTGGTTGACGTCTGTGTTTTATTTCAGTATAAACAACAAAACACTGATATGCACAATGTAAGTTTATAAGAAAAAATTATGTATTCATTAATTAGGTAGAATTGATACAATCATGTAGCGGGATTATTTTTCCTTGTACGTAGACTAATCAAGTTAACAACAGTGTTTGCTCACAAAACAAATCTTTGAGTACAAACCAACAGGTGCACAGCAACAGCGATCAGGAGCAAATACACTTCTCTAATATGGATTTGTAATAGTTATGTATTTTATTATATATCAGAGTGCAGTTGTCTTTAATTATGTTAATTCAATGCACTTTTGCAAATAGTGTATCAGGAAATCTACCTGATTCAATTATAAAGAGTACTTTTTTTTACAAGCCAATTCTTTGGATCAAGGTGTAGTTTTTTCAATTATAACAAAAAGATTTGTACTTTATGTTTTTTTCCGCTTCTGAATTAACTTTTCAATTCTTTGTTCAGGCCAATTTTGTTAATCTCATTAATAGTAAATTTCAAATGTTTTGTCAAATTAGTAAAAACAGTAATAGTATTGTATAAATATAGGAGTTGATAGGACAGAGGTGAGAGTGAGAGAAGAGAATCTCTCAGATCATTCAAAAAGGTAGATCAGGTACCAATAACCCGGGTGAGTGAGTGTTCAGAGGAGAGACAGAGAGCGGGAGAGTGGAGATACTCTCAGAGTTCTGTTCAGACAGGTTGCAATAACCTTAGGTTCAGGTTTCAGGGTTCAGGTTTCAGAATATCAGGGTTTTCAGGCTTCTGTATACAGATAGAGTGGGATAGAAGAGGGATACAAAGATAGAGTTTCCAAAAGCAGACAGAGCGGTAGATTTGACAGGAAAGCTAGAGTTATCAAATTGTAGACAGAGTGGATACAAGGTATAGGATAGACAAAGAGCCAATGGGATAGAGGAGGAGAGATGCTGGATAGCAGGACACCTGCAAGACACAAGAAAAACATCCGTTAGACAATCTTCTACCACCACTGGATCATTGAAGGTGTCATCTAACCGTAACATATATATGCTGGCAGACACTTATTGAGTGTTGATTTAATTAATTATAGACGATTCTCTTGGAAAATGTTGACAGAGGGACATCAAAACCGTAGAAGGCTAAAGCTGTTTGTAGGAGCCATATACATTTGGTATTATTTCATTTAATTTTGCTCTGTGCCACTAGGGGGCTGTATGTGCTTTGTGGCTCAGCTGACTTCGGATCAGCCCAGGTAGCCCATTTAACCTGCAGGAATCTAAGACACAGGTGTTGGTAATTTGGGAAGCAAACAGTTTTCGACTGTGCCAGTGTGCGTGTGTGCCTTTGTGGTGAGCAATGCGGTTTGTTATTTTGGGTACATGTATTATGAGTTAAAGTTTTGCCGTTTTATGATATTTGGAACAAAATAAACATGCAAGATAATTGTAACACCACAAGACTCCGTTTTGCTGTGTTCGAGCGCACCAGGCGCACGTCTAAAACTAATCCACCATATTAGCAACGAGTACTAGACTTTGTTTAGGACTTCGTCAGTACACTGTTGGTTGTACATCAAGAACTGTCAACAATGACTCCTGAGCCGATGTGGGGCTCCCGTGATGCTGTAAGTGCACGCATTGTAAAGCCCTGAGAATATTTTTTTACGCTCTGTGAACCAAGCAGAACCCGTAACACAATACAGTGTTTCCCCTACCATTATAAGAGGGGGGCGCGCCTCCCCCCTGAAATAACTCCACCCTCCCCTGAAAAAGTGTGCCATTTAAAAGTGTATATATATTATTATTTATTTATTTTTCTACGCACAGCAGTCCCACACTGACATTACTATGTTGCGAATATGTCCGTGTGGCGCTCGCAGCAGCGGGGCAGAGAGCACCAGAGTAACAACAGCCCTCAAAGAAGACACAGCTGACACAAAGCTGCTAACATACGTGCCGAAATAAAACCAAGAGGTTGAGCAACACACGCATGCTGCTCACACAGGGAATGCAGCTCGGCCATCAGTGATTCATTACAACTAAATGTTTTAAGAAAGTGCATCCAGTTGTCAATCATATGTGAGAACTTACTGTCAAATATCCAAGGAGTCACCAACACTGGCAGGCTGCAGTTAGACAGGGAACAGGAGGCAGAAGGAAAGAGAACTCAATGAGGGTTTCGAGACAGGTTATTATGATGAAAAGGCATACTAAACTCTAAACCATCCATCCATTGTCAAACCGCTTATCCTGCACACAGGGTCGCGGGGGGCTGGAGTTTACTTACAGCAATATCTGAATTGATGTGTGAACTTGCACTTTAGAGTCACCAGCCGTTATGGTCTGCCGTTCAAGATAGAAAAGGCGAGTCGGCAGGAGGAGGAGGAGGGTGACGGATGAAGAGAGGGAGAGAAAAGGAGACATTTTCAGTTCAGTTTATTTAAAATGTACTTTCAATGTATTTCCTTATTGATCATTTTTGTCTCATTGAAAAATCACAATTTTCACAAAAGTAATATAAAGAATATAAATATTCATTGCAGTGTGGCAGATTTGTGGCAATACTGACTGATGTCAACAAGACAACAAATAATGAACATACATATTGAATATATTATTTCAATATGTGTTAATGCCTCTCGGGGACTTTAATAATTAAAATGGCTCTATAGTATGGTACATATAATCAGAGCTGGGGCAATTAGTTTGATAGCTGCAATAGCTGTATGAAATTAAAGAAAGAAATGTAAAACTCTCTGATTCCACCTTCTCAAACGTAATATCTTTTAATTGCTTAATTCCTCAATAAAAATAAACAAAGACATTTGAGGACATTATCTTGCAATATAGACTATTAAAAACGTTTCCCATTTCAAGTATTAACTATTCAACTGATAAAGAAACACAAACAAAAAATACATCAACAATTTCAAAAATGATATGTGGCAACCATCCACAAAATACAATGTAAATGTTCTTTTAATAAATTGAAAAGATCTACGTATGTCATATACGTATGCAGTATAGTTATGTAGTAGTGTTAGCTATTTCTGTAACTTACCAAACACAATGCAGATAAGGAGGATGCTCTGTTGTCTAAGAGAGGAAACAATATGACAAACTGACATTAAGAAGGTTCAAACTTTCAGCCTATAGGAAATTATTACATACAGAGAGAAGTAGATTACCGCTGTTCCATATTACCAACATAGTTAATTAACATTAACGTTAGTTATTTATGTTTCTCAAAAGACAAACTACATTAAATGGTATTGCCATTGGATTTGTAACTTATCCATAATTCAGACATGAATGGAGGAGTGAAATATTCCCGTGGTTACCACATGCTAACTTCTACGTAGGCCTAATGCTAAAAATAGGCTGACGTGGCAATTTCATCAGCTGGCTGACTAATTTGGCAGGGAGTAAAGTAACGCTAACCAGCTAACTAGTAGCTAATGCCAACAAACTAGTCAACACAAACTGACAAAACCCTTGCAATTTTAACCAATTTGTCAATGAACATACTTTAAGTCAGCATTATCTCGTGTTATAATACTGTAGATGAAATGCAGCGCTCTGATTGGTTGACCGTGAGTCACGTGGTGCACATCATTGAGTGACGTACAGTTCTTGTTCCATATCACTGCGCACTAAGAGTAACGGTTTGGCCGACCGTTAGTATCAGCAATGAGGTACTCGAGGCAGTACTTTATGTACAGCCTCGTGTACCTTATTGCTTAATAAACGTTGCGAATGAATTTAAATCGCTTCCTTCCTTATAATGAACTATGACACTAATAGACGAAATATTTCCCTCATACGGCACACAAATGAACCCGTGACTTAACGTTAAACGTCAGGCTGTATCCATATTAACTGAAACGTTAGTTAACTAACCAAGTTAGTTACCCAACTAACCAAGTTAGTTACCCAACTAACCAGTTTATGCCAGTTCAGCACATAACTTAATACCGTTACATATTTGTCATAATAATGTGCCGCTAGCTTAGCGGCTATGCTATTGTTAGCCACGTTTTGGCGTTGTCATACACAGGGAATATTTCACTCTTTCATTAGTGTACACATACTGCACAGGTTACAAACGGACGACAACGCCGTTTCACAGCTATATAACTGTCATTACACCATCCAAACTATGAGCCCTTAGACCCGCGGCTCAGCGGTACTTACCGGTCAAGACTTCAGAGGAATTTGACGGAGATGCGTTGATGTGACGTTAGATTTGATTGATGCATTCAGGAACATTTGGACATTACGCTCTACAAATTCCCGGTTCGATAGAAACTGTACCAAACAAACCTCAAAGCTTAATTCCTCGGCTGTCATAATGCATTTTATTAAATCTATAGTTGTCCTTTAAGAGCATTCGTATCATCAGCGAGATACTATACTATAAGCTGATACATTGACAACAAGAGATGGTCAATACGTGTGGTTAATTCTTGAAATGTGAAACGTTGATTAAGTAATGTTTTCCTAAGGCATAATATGAATTCACTAATGATTTTTTAGTACATAAGACGAGACTAATTCGTGACACTATTACCTTGCTAAATATAGTTTTGGAAATAGCAACATTAAGCTCCTACGCGGTGTATCAGGCAAACACTTACGTCATCAGCCATTATTTCCGACATCATTGGAGAGCTTTTGAACTGATCACTGTCAAAATCACTGTCAAAAATCCATATAAAAAATTCGCGGGCAAAAGTCCATCTCGCGCAAGCAAAAGTCGGTGATTTGCCTCAGTCCTGTGAAAGCTGACAGAGAAGTAAGTTTGTTCCTCTCTAAATGAGATAAGAAAATGAAGAATATGAAGAATAACTGACATTAATTGAGTATTTATATTGTATAACCCTATAAGTATAACCCTTTTTTACAAAAGAAACAATTAAGTGACTAGAGTTGTTTAAAATGTTTAAGCTAGCGGTTAGATTATCTTGGTTAGCAAAAGCGGTTTCCAAATAGTGGTCATCAATTTTTTAATGCAGTTTAGCGTTTTAGGCAAACGTAATGCTCTCTTTAATACAATATATTAACCTTATACGTTTGTGATAACCATATACTAATGAAGCAACACAATATGAAATAAAAGAAACGTTTTAGAAAATAATGTGTACTAACCTACTACATAGCTTTTTCTTAATGCTTTGTGTTTATTTTAATATTTCAGAATGGCATTAAAGACGCTTTTGACAACAAAGCCTCCAACACCCTATTTTCGCCCCCCGCCAATCCACCTATGTGTGGTGTTGGTGGTGGAGCAGCCCAGGGTGGTGGCCTGGGAGTTTGACTCAAATGGTGCGAGACCAGCACAGACAAAAATTAATATTCTGGCCGCACTAACAGATGGAGATTCAGTGGCCAAAGTCACTGTATTCGAGGAGTTTGGCAAAAGATTTAAGGAGGGTGGGAGTTATAATGTAAAGGGGCTGTCCCTGAGAGGGCAGTCCCCCCCCATATCAATTAAATATAACTAAGGACACGCTGTTCTTTAGGAGCGCTCCTATAGCGCTCAGTGCAGCGCTCAAACTTGAAGCAGAGCTTCTAATACACCCCCCCTCTCCACTGACTCCGCTGAGCACCTGCCGGGATGCCAGGGGCCTGATAACCGTGGAGGGCGAGGTGGTCGAGGTAAATTAAGTTTCAGCCTACGGTGGTTTAAAAAGGAAACAGGTTTAATATTAGCTGCAAATTGGTATAAAATGTCAATTAACTGAAACATCCATTTTGTTCAGCTGTCAGCTTTAAAAGAAATCGCGACAGGGAGAGACGTCGTTCCATTGCGCAACGTCACGATGCAGCAGGTAGGCAGTCCACTTCATTCATACATACATATATATAATAAAATGTATTTATTCATTTAGATAGCTGAGTAATTACGCTACATATATCGTATGAAGGCAAATAACTGTCAAAAATCCAAATCCATGTCAAACATTTGCGGGCAAAAATCCATGCTCGCGCACACATGAAACATTCGCCAACTTTTGCTGCGCGAGATGGACTTTTGCCCGCGAATGTTTGACATGGATTTGGATTTTTGACAGTTATTTGCCTTCATACGAGTCCTCAGACACATATATATATAATCTATATATATATATATATATATATATATATATATATATATATATATATAGAGAGAGAGAGAGAGAGAGAGAGAGAGAGAGAGAAAGAAAGAGATAATTAAAGTAATTAAAATATTATTTCACATTACCTTCTACAGGGGGAATCACAGATGTCGCTGTGTTTCTGGAGGGAGGCGGCCGTATGGCAGCTGCAGGTGGGGGCCCACATTAAAGTTTCCCATCTTAAAGCTGGGAGGTCTAACTATGGGCTCAGACTCCAGTCCACAAACTTTTCCACCATCGAGGTAGGCCTACTTGTTTTTTTATGAAATTGAAACAAACTTTTTAGACAATCTTTACACTATCTGGCTTCAACAGCAAAGTTTGATTGGGTGATGTTATGTTAAATTTGAAGTGGCTATTTAAAAAAAAAAGTTGAATAAATTATAATGCAATGCCTCCGTGCTGGGGTTATTTTATTTGCCTGCTTAAAAACGATAATGATTGCTCTGGATTGCGGCTGACAGCGGGATAATGTCTACTTTTCTCTCAACAGGAGGTACGCTCAGAGGACATCGTGGGGGCACTCGGGGTGATGGAGATTGAGGGAGATCCGTGGAACCTCAACCTTCTCCTAGAAGATGGCCGTACCGTCTTAATTGAGGAGAGATTGTTGGAGCCAATCGAACTTGTCATGATTGAACCTGTGATAAAAGTTCAAATTAAAATGACAAGAAACAAGGTGCAGGCGATTGAAGTGGCGAAAAATTAAAAATTCTACTGTTATAAAATGTATATGTTTATAAGATTGTGTTCATAATGTATTAGTTATGTGTTCATTTTGTTTTGACTTGTTACTTATGTTCAATTGTTTTTTACGCTTGTTTATAATTGTTATTTGTTGCAATAAATATTCAACCGTAGCAATGTTGTCCGTCACTGTTCATTTTGAATGCTGCATGTGACTTATTTTCAGTAGAGGTTTCTTATCCCTTTAGCAATGATGGCTGGTGGAACACTTCCTATAGGGCCATCCAATCAATTTCAGCAAACATTCAAGTATTAGTTAATAAAAACAATTAAGGTATCAAAAGCATTAGTACCTTGCAGTTGGGTATAATTTATTCCAGCACTAAAAAAGCAGTAAATAACACTGACATCTTATTTCTGTCACCCTCACAGGTAATTCAGTATAATATTTATACATTTTATATTATGTTTCGTTCAAACTATGACGTTATCAATCGATAGGCCTCATCAAAAACATTACAGTAAGAATTGCCTCCATGGGGGTTATATTTTGAAATGTTGGCATTGGGGAAGGTAGAAGGACACTAGAGAGAGCAAAGGTGAAAGAGAGGGAGGGAGGAAGAGCGAGAAAGGGAGAGAAAGTGAGGAAGGGAGAGGGGGAGGAATGGAAAGAGAGGAGGAGGAAGGGAGAAAGAGTGGGGGGGGAGAAAGAAAGAGGGGGAGGAAGGGAGAGGGGGAGAATGAGATAGAGGGAGAGAGAGGAGGAGAAATAGACAGACAGACTGAGTGATTAACAGTGAGAAGAGGTCAGGGTGGAGGGGGGCGAGTGTCTTTATCATATTGGTCTGTTGACAGAAAGCATAGCTGCGTCATGTGACTCCACTAATCAGGTCATAGGAGCAACTGTGAGTCACAGACAGATCTTGCAGCGTGTGAGCGAGTAACCACGGCAACGACGCACCTGTGCTAATTAACGAGCTGCTGCAAAAGGCAGCGAGTTACACAGAATCCACACCTCAAACAAATGACATTCAGCGCAAAACTATAACAGCTATCTAAAAAATACGGCGTTTTTACGAGACCCAAGACTCTACCGAACGCATGGATGTGTGTTTTGTGTCTGTGCGGTAATAAATACGGCTCCTATGGCCGTTGACAAAACGTGTACCTTCTGGATTTTTTGAGAAATATGTCGGCAGATTTGTATTGGAGCCTATGGGGCTTTTAGCAGAGGTTGTGTGACTGTTGGTCTCCGTAGGCCACAACTAAAGAACTCTGGGATTCCATGAACGCATTAATCCAATCAGCACAACCATGCCCTCATTAATCTGAAGAAATGAAGCCTCTAGAGCAGGGATCTCAAACTCAATTTACCTAGGGGCCGCTGGAGGTATAGTCTGGGTGAGGCTGGGCCGCATCATGTATTCCACAAAAAAAAGGCTTCAAGTATTCAAAAAAAAAGGTCAACTGAACCAATCTTCTCAATCTTAACAAGTCAGAACATGCAGAACATGAACAGTTCTTCAGAACATAGGCTTCATTTACTTCCTTCTAATCCTTGCTGCCAGAGACTTGGCAGCGCTTCCTCTCACACAGCTGAGCCACATTTGGCTTGAGGGAGGAGGCAACTGAGACCCTCAGTATGGCTTTAAGGTGCTCATCTTTAAGTCTGGACCTGAACTTTGACTTATTGAAGTTCATTGTGGAGAAGAGCTTTTCACACAGATAGGTGCTGCCAAAAAGGCACATGGTCCGCTTGAACATCCTGGAAAGCTCAGGGAAGGTGGGGGGCAGTTTTCTCAAAAATTGTCCAAGCTCCACTGTTTTTCCACTCACCTCCCTGAACTTGGCTTTGAGGTCAGTATTGCACTGCAGATCAATTAGCTCCATCTGCAGGACAGGGGGGGCATCCTCCACATCAAAGGAGAAGGGGTCAGCAAAAATGTGAAAAGTGGCTCTGTGTGTCTTGAAGTCTGCAAACCTCTGATCAAATTCTTCCTGTAGCTTTCCAATGGTATTAGCATACTTCTCACCACTGAATGTTGTGCCTGAATCCATGAGTGCCTTGCATGCTGGGAAATGGCAGAGGTTTGTCTGGAAAAGCTGGGCTTTCCATAACACAAGTTTTTTGGAGAATGCTCTGACATTGTCATATGCAGCACTGACAAGCTGGTCCTGACCTTGTAACTTCTTGTTCAGTACATTCAGCTCCTGTGTGACGTCAACAAGAAAAGCTAAGTCCATTAGACATTTAGGATCATTTAGCACAGGAACAGTCATCCCATCCTTCTCCATGAAGGCTTTCACTTCTGCTCTTAACTCAAAAAACCTCTTCAAGACCTTCCCCCTGCTGAGCCAACGTACCTCGGTGAAGTAGAGCACGTCCTCGTATTCTGACTCTATTTCCGCCAAAAAGTCGCGGAACTGCCGATGCTTTAAAGCCCTGGATCTGATATGGTTGATGATTTTCACAACGTCAGACATCACATTGTCAAACCTCATGATCTTGCTGCAAAGGGCCTGCTGGTGGATAATGCAGTGCAGAGCAATGGCATCTTCCACACCCTCCTCTTCCAGTTTCCTTTCAACAAGCGCCACAAGTCCGTTTTTCCTCCCTGTCATTGACGGCGCTCCGTCGGTCGTTATTCCAGCCAAACCCTTCCATTGTAAGCCGGCATCCTCAATGGAATCACACAGCTGACGGAATATCTCCTGGGCAGTGGTCTGGCCATGCATTGCAATCACTGAGAGCAACTCCTCCGTAACTTCAAAATTGTTATCAACGCCACGGACATATATTGCGAGCTGCGCCGTGTCAGTGACGTCTGTGCTCTCATCAAGAGCAAGTGAGTATGAATGGAAATGTTTAGCTTTCTCACGCAGTTGATCATAAATGTTGCCTGACATGTCAGAAATGCGCTCTGCCACTGTGTTGGCTGAAATGCTGATGTTACTAAACTGAGCCTTTTTTTCCGGGCAGACTATACTTGCAGCCTGTAACATGCACTGTTTGATGAACTCGCCGTCTTTGAATGGCTTCCCTGCTTTAGCAATCATCTCACTCACCACGTAGCTGGCTTTGATAGCCGCTTCACTCTCTTTGCTTGCTTTTTTGAAAAAATCTTGTTGCCTCAGTAGACATGTTTTAAGTTTGGCGACCCGGTCCTCTCGCTCATCTCCCAGGTATTTTCCATACTCCTCAGCATGTTTAGTTGAGTAATGACGTCTGATGTTATACTCCTTGTGCACCGCAACTTTATCCATGCATATTAGACACGTTGGGATGTCCCTGTGCTCAACAAAAAAATATTCCGTCTCCTACTTCTCCTGAAATTGTCTGTGCTCATCGCCAATTTTTCTCTTCACGGCAGGTTTTGAAAAAGACATGACTGGGGCTGACAAAAACCGTATAGCACTAGGTGACAAGATATATTTTCCCTCCACTTGTTCATCCAAACATGTTGAAGTGACCAATTGCTAATTCGCGCTGTTGTCACGAGCCTGAGCTACGGGCGGTAGCGCGGGAAGAGGGGGGGCTGCCGGGGCTGCAGCCCCCCCTCGTCAGAGGGTCTGCCTCTCTCTGCCAGAGTGGAAGAAATCTTACATCTTGTTTTAAAAATAAAACCAACAAAAAATAAAAACATATAACATATTTATTCTGTGTCGAATGGGTTTGATTTGAGTTATTGTGATATGTGAAAAAAAATGCGCGGGCCGCACAAACACAAAGATTTGATTTCAGGCAGGGGGCCACAAAACATTGTCCTGCGGGCCGCAATTGGCCCGCGGGCCGCGAGTCTGAGACCCCTGCTCTAGAGTGTATACTTTGGCTGCAAGGACAGAAGTTCCATATTTTTTTAACCAGATTCCTGCGATGCCCCACACTCTAGCCCTCGAGGTTCCCACTCTAGCAGACGCAATACACACTCATGTAAAAGTCAGAAACGGAGCGAAGAACTAGTGAAACATAATCAGTGATTATGAAAAAAGTACAATAGATATCAAGAAGCAGTTTTTTTCATAAAATAGTTGAGACTTGTGTCAACATTTGAAAGTTGAAATGGTGTCTGTAGCTGAAAGATTTGCGAAGCTGAAAAATCTAAAAGTTGAAGAAGTTTAAGGAGGATTTGAAAACAAACTCCATTTTAAAACCATGTTAAAATATTAATGATTATTGATTTATATAAATTCAAGCATAAGAGGTAGAAAGCTGAAAAGTCATAGCCCTCAAGCCAGAAAGGAGCTGAACATTTTAATATTTGAACGGTTTTAATAGCTGAAAGTGTGAAGGAGTTGAAAGGTGCCGCGGAAGAAATAGAATAAGTTGAAATAAAGAAGAGAAGAACAATACTTGGAATGCTTAATGCATTCCAACTAACTAGAAAAGGCATTTCCTGCTGAAAATGCGTTGGAATGCAAAAAGCTGAAAGCTGCACTGAATATTTAAAAATAGCTGAAAATACAGAAAGTTGAAGGGAATTTGAATATATTTGCTGAAATGACAGATATTTGAAAAGCTGAAATTAATTTGAAATTGTTGAAAATACAGAAATGGGAGAAGCTGAAAGGAATTTCAATAGATTTGCTGAAAAAGCAGAAATGAAAACAGCTGAAATAAATGTGAAATATTGCAAAAAAGAATACAGAAATTAATATTAAAACATTGCTGTTAATAGAGGCATAAGAAAAGCAGAAATTATTTTAAAGAACTGCTGAAAATACAGGAAGTGGGGAAGCTGAATTTCAATAGATTTTCTAAAAAATACAGAAGTTGCAGGAGCTTAATTGACTTTTAAAAAGTACAGAAATAACAAAAGCTGAGATGAATAAAAAGAGGTTTCAAATTGTTTGTAGTAATAATAGTAGTAGTAGTATTAGTTATAGTTGTAATTGTGGTA